TGAGGACTCGAACCCAGGGCCTCAGGCATGCAAGGCAAACCCTCTACCACTGAGCCACCTTCCCAGCCCTCCACACTTTTTTAAAGAACTAAAACATTTAGTAAAGGAAATGTTCTAATCTGTAATTAAAAGATTTCCTTAAAGATTCCAATTATATTTAATCTATCTACTCATGTTTTTACCCTAGATTCCAAGTATTAAATTGTTACAGTAGTGAACTTCTCACCTACTAAAGCAGTCTGACATATAAGGATACTTCAGAAGCACACTTTCTCAAAGGACATAGTAGGAGTTTTGTATTTGTAGAGTTTTATATATGTGTTATTTTTTTCTTCTCTTGCTGACTCCCTGCTTTTCCACACTAGGAACATTGGGATACTGTTTACATGTCTAGTTTCTCATTTAAGAATTAATAATATTGCTGGGCACCAGTGGCTCACTCCTGTAATCCTAGCTACTCAGGAAGCTGAGATCTGAGGATCAAGGTTCAAAGCCTATCCTGGCAGGAAAGTCTGTGAGACTCTTAACCTTCAATTAACTAGCCCCAGAAAAGCCAGAAGTAGAGCTGTGGTTACCCCACAACAAAGCATTATTAACATGTCAGCCATGGCCAGGTTGAAAAGCCCTGAAATAAATTATCATGTTAATTTTTTAATAATCATTTGACCTTTTTTTTATTATAGCACAAAATAAATTGTAGTTGCAATCAGCTATTGAATATATTCATTTCTAAAGTTACTATTTTTGGCACATTTTGAAACTACTTTGAAACTCAGTACTGGTGTTACTTTATTGCAGATGAACCCACCAGATCATTGAGTGGTCTCATCTTGAAGAATAATGTGAAAGCACATTTTCAGAATTTCCCAAACGGGGTAACAGACTTTATTAAAAGTGAATGCTTAAATAATATTGGTGATTCGTCTCCTCTGATCAGAGCCACTGTTGGTAAGTTAGCTTACTTACTTTGCTTATTCTATTTATAATGAATTATAGAAATGATTTTATAGCATATTATTTTATGTTTAGTGATAGGTAGGACACTTAGGTGTTTATAAAAGTGTTAACAGTTAAGGTAAAAGCTTTTACCCAATATAACTGAGTTACTGATAGTTGGCTAATAAAAATTGATTGAAGTTGGATATCAAGCAATAGTATTTAGGACCACTGTTTTTTGATTATGTAGCTGAAGTTTCTTATTGTTGGTCTGCCTGTGTAATGAATACTTGGAGTGTAATTTCTAGTGTCGCTTTTTTTGTTGGTCATGGGGCTTGACCTCTGGGCCTGGGTGCTGTCCTTGAGTTCTTCAGCTCAAGACTAGTGTTCTACTACCTGAGCCACAGTGCCACTTCTGGTTTCCTGGTGGTTTATTAGATAAGAGTCTCAGGACTTTCCTGCTGAGGCTGGCTTTGAACCATAATCCTCAGATCTCGGCCTTCTGAGTAGCTAGGATTACAGGCCTGAGCCACTGGTGCCAGGTTCTACAGTCACTTTTACATATAAGGCAACTTTGTTTTATAGAAATGATGTTCTTCAATAGGGATTCTCTCCTTGATTGATATTAGCCTTGCATTACACTCAACTCAGTAGCAGGATATTTAGACTTTTTCAACATATTTAACTTGCTCCCAGGACAATAATAACTTAATAATTGATTAAAATCCTTCATTATAATGTTAGATATATATCAGTGAGTGGCAGCAGAGATAGGCAGCTCTGCTCCAGGGAATCCTACTACTGAACAACTTTCATCATGCACTAGGCTTCAAGGACCCATACTTTACAAGGAACTTTCTGTTCATTAACCTGCTGTGTAAATCAAGTCCCTGAAGGATTCCTTAGTTTTGTATTTGTTTTTGTTTTGGGCTTTTGTTTTGTTTTTTGTTAGTCATGGGGCTTGAACTCTGGGCCTGGGTGCTCTCCCTCAGCTCTTCAGCTCAAGACAAGCACTCTACCACTTGAGCCACTGCACTACTTCCGGTGGTTAATTGGAGATAGGAGTCTCAGGGACTTTCCTGCCCAGGCTGGCTTTGAACCGTGATCCTCAGGTCTCAGTCTCCTGAGTAGCTAGGATTACAGGTATGAGCTACCAGCTCTCCTTCTCGCATTTGTTTTTTAGGTTTGAAAAGTAATACTCATCTCTGTAAATTAGAAGTTCTGTGATTTCTCTATAGACATACTCAAGTGTGACAACACTGACTTCAAATTTGATGGATAGAAGGTATTTTCTTTTGGGAGATGAGAGGGACTCCCTGAGTTTTTCTGTTGTACCTTTTTTTGCTTTTTGTTGTTTGTTTTCCATAGGGCTTGAACTCTGGGCCTAGGCACTGTCCCTAAGCTCTTTTTGCCCAAGGCTAGCACTCTACCACTTTGAGCCACAGCTCTAATTTCTGATTTTCTAGTGGTTAATTGGAGATAAGAGTCGCAGAGACTCTTGTGCTTGAACTGGCTTTAAAAGGAGATCCTTAGAACTCAGCCTCCTAAGTAGCTAAGATTACAGATGTGAGCCACCAGCTCCTGGCTTATACCTTTCTTTTTTAAAGTACCATTTGGTCTAAGCTATAGTTCTTTTTGTCTTAAATTTAAAAGATTAGAAGTAATAGTATTGAAGAGCAGAGTGTGATGGTGCTTACCTACAATCTTAGCCCTTTTGGGAGGAGCAAGAACTTGGAAGCACCACGTAGTGATATCCTGTCTTTTAAAAGTAGTGGTGGGGGCTGGGAAGGTGGCTCAGCGGTAGAGCGCTTGCCTTGCATGCTGAGGCCCTGGGTTCGATTCCTCAGCACCACATAAGCAAAAAGAACAAAGCTGGAAGTGGCGCTGTGGCTCAAGTGGTAGAGCACTAGCCTTGAGCTGAAGAGCTGAGGGACAGTGTCCAGGCCCAGAGTTCAGGCCCCATGACCGGACCCCAAAAAAAAATAAAAATAAAAAAATAAAGGTAGTGGTGGTAGTAACTGGGCACTGGTGGCTCACCCCTATATAATCTTAGTTACGCAGGATGCTGAGCTCTGAGGATCAAGGTTCGAAGCCTGCCTAAGCAGGGAGTCTGTGAACTGCTTCACAATTAACTACCTCCTCAAAAAACAGAAGTGGATCTGTGGCTCAAGTGGTAGATCACTAATCTTAAGCAAAATGTCTCAGGACAGCACCCAGACCCTGAGTTCAAGCCTTAGGACCACCACCAAAAAAAGAGTTAGTAATAATAGTATTGGGAGAAAAGAATTGGTGTAATCTTCCAGTGACTTCTGGACTTCTTTCTCCTTCTATAAATGTTTCCAAATATTTGGAAGCTCTTTTCTTTTTATGTCTTGATACTTGTTTGTGGAAGTTAAAAGGTCGTTCATTGATTTTAGTTCTAGATACTATTTTCCCAAGTATCCTAATCTAGTCTCAGAAGTTTTCAGTATAAAAACGAATTAAGAATTTTTGCTTCAGTTAAGCTTCACACATTAATTCAGTATATTGCCAAATAGCACTTAGAATGTAATAAAAAACAAACAATTGGGAATGTGAAAGTGTAGAAATACAGATGAAACAATTGACAATGTATTAATGACTACTGCTGAGCTTCCATATACAGATTGAGTGGTCCTTATCTCAAATGTTTGGAGTCTATAAAGTGTTTCAGATTTCAGAATTGTGTGTATTATTTCAGAATAATTGTTTAGGGTGATTTGGGGATATTTATATAGAACTTAACAATTGAGCCTCTCTTACCAAAAATTTAAACTACCAAAAAATTTGAATCTTTTTGAACATTATAAGACTTTTTATTTTTATTTTGGACTTTCAGATTCAAGATCTTCCTCTTTTCCCTCATCTCTTCTTCTTTCTTCGGTATTGACTGAACTCAAAGCTTTATGCTTGCTATGCTGGTTCTCTACTATGTGAGCCATGACTCCATCCAGTCCCACTTTTTGGTGTGTGTGTGTTGTGGGGCTTAAACTCTGGGCCTGGGTGCTGTCCCTCAGCTCTTCAGCTCAAGGCTGGCAGTCTACCACTTGAGCCACAGCGCCACTTCTGGCTTATTCTGTTTATGTGGTGCTAAGGAATCAGACCCAGGGTCTCATGCATACAAGGCAAGCACTCTAACACTGAGCCACCTTCCCAGACCCTTGCTGGTTATTTTGGAAATGGAGGCTAGTAAACTTTTTGACAGTGTTATCCTTGAATCACTGTCCCCCAAATCTCAACCTTCTGAGTAGCTGAGATTATAGGTATGAACTACTGGCACCCAGCAAGATGTTTAATTAACATTTAAAGTTCCATAAACGTTTATAATATTTTAATATTACTTAGCTAAAGCTATCAGTTTGAAATAAGTTACACAGATTGGACAGTTAAATTGTAACATGTTGCTAATTAAAAATAAAAGTATTGGTTGGGCAGTCGTGACTCATATCTGTAATCCTAGCTATTCAGGAGGCTAAGATCTGAGGATTGCAGTTCAAAAACCAGCTCAGGCAGGAAAGTCTGAAACTCTTATCTCCATTTAACCACCAGAAAACTGGAAGTGAAGCTGTGGCTCAAAGTGCTAGAACACTAGCCTTGAGCAGAAAAAGTTTAGGAACAGCACCCAAGCCCTGAGTTCAGCCCTACCACTAGCTAAAAAATAATAGTAATTTTTTTTAAGTATTGGATCCTCAGAACCCAAAATAAATCAAAAGCTAAAAATTTCATTTTTGTCTTAATCTCCCTCTTCTGTAAAGTAGATGAGATTATGGGACCAGATAAATTTAGAATTTGTCAACCCAGCATTCTTTTATGCTTTATCTTGGGTTACTAGGCTTTAAGTCTGTTAGACAGGTTCTTGATCACTAAGCCATGCCTCCAGCCTTCATTGAAGGCATATCCAGGGCTTTCTCTTTATTTTTAACTTTAGGAAAGAATAATTGGCAAGAAAAAGATCATGCTGCTTTCAAATCTTCTTGCAAACCATCTTATTGCAAGGGTTATATCTTAAAAACACTCAGTAAGCCTGGTGCATGGTGGCTCACACCTATAATCCTAGCTACTTAGGAGACTGAGATTTCTCATATGGAGGCCTTCTTGGGCAGAAAAGTCTTAAAAGACTAGCTCCAAAATAACCAACAGAAAACTGGACTGTAAGCCAGAGCAAGGGTGAGAACCTGATTTCAAGCCCCTGTTATTGAGCAGGGGAGGAACAGCTTTAAATACATTAGTAATTTTTTTCTTAGAAAGTATTTGCTTGGTTCGCTAAAGTTTTTTTAAACTTTTTCTCTTGAGAGCAGTGTTCTTAAAAACTTAACAGTGGAAATTTAAACAAAGTTTATCCACACAGTTTTAATTTTCTATTCTATAGTAATTACATCTCACTGAAGTTTCAAGAGGACCATGTTCTTTCCATTTTTGCAGAATAGTAACATACAGCTTAGGAAACATTTTGTAATTTGTGTAATGTCAGAGTTTATTCTCCAGAATTACCAACATATTACATTATATTATAAATGATACGTTTTATAGAGAAAATGTTAATACAAAATGTTTGTGTTGACGTTTGGGTGCTTGCCTAATCTGCTGTCATGGCAGGGCTACACAACTCAGTTGAAATAATCCAGTCAGTCAAAAACACATGATCATGGGGCTGGGAATGTGGCTTCGTGGTAGAGTGCTTGCCTAGCATACATGAAGCCCTGGGTTTGATTTCTCAATACCACTTAAACAAAAAGCTACACATGGTCCTGTGGCTCAAGTGGTAGATTGTTAGGTTTGACCAAAAGAAGCTCAGGGACAGTGCCCAGGCTCTGAAGTCAAGCCCCAGGACTGGCAAAAACAAACCAACAAAAAAAAATACCCACATATGATCAATCAGCATGTACCACCCAGCCTCCAAGACTGCCTTTCTAGCAAGTGATGGGAATTCTTTAAAGGAGTACATAACCTGTCCCCATGAGAGGTAGTGTTGCAAAGCATATGAACATGTAGGATCATTCTCATCTATGTCATTTTTCTGTATCACAATCCTTGGCTATGATTCACAATTAAGTAGGGAAACTGTTCTGACCTTCTTGGTGTATCTTTTATCCAAACCCAACAGATTTATAAACTCATCAACCAGTGATAAGAGCTAATAGCATTTTGGTATTTTTTCCCTGTTCTTTTGTGGATAGGTTGTATAAAATATGAGTTCTCATGAATTAGTGATTGTAAAAATATGTTAATTTTAATTAAGATATCTTTAGTTTTGAAGAAAAAAAAAGGGTTTCTGTTTTACTAAGCTAGGTGCTAGTGGCTCGTGCCTGTAACTCTCAGCTACTCAGAAGAGTGAGATCTTGGGGTAGAAGTTCCAAGCCAGATTAGGCAAAAAAAAGTCCATAAAACACTATCTTCAGTTAACCAACAAAAAGTCAGAAGTAGAGATTGTTGGTGAAATGGTAGAGGGCTATCCTTGAATGAAAAAACCGAGTGTGAGTGCCTGATATCAAGCTGCAGTAGCAGCACATCACACACACACACCAGTCAGTTGTACTGAAACTTAGTAATTTTTTGTGATGAAAATTTACAGTAAAGATTAGAAACAGATCTGATTTGCTGTGGAGCTTTTCCACAGATAGGCTGTGGCAGTAATTTGGGGGTCAATGAATGCTATGACATGTAGTTTTGGAAAAGTTAAGCTCATGTGGTACATTTTGAATGGCTGGCTTTTCTAAAAATGTATGTTGTCTTTCAAGGTATTTTGATTACAACCATAGCCTCCAAGGGAGAATTGCAGAATTGGCCTGATCTCTTACCAAAACTCTGTAGCCTGTTGGATTCTGAAGATTATAATACCTGTGAGGTAAGAATGCTTTTTTGTTATTATTACCATACTGTGTAGTCATACCTTTTTGAAAAACATTTCATCCAAAAATGTACAACTTCAAAATTTAGAACCTAAAGTTACTCTTTTATGTTTGTGATCTTTTATCTTTACTGCTTTTTTATAAAGAACATAACATGCTGTGGAAAAAATCTAGCTAATCAGGAGACCTGAGAGTTGAGATTTTTGAAGCCCCCTTAGACAGAAAAGTGTCTGAGATTCTATTGTTTGTTTGACATGGCTCAAGAATCAAGGTGTGTCATCTGTGAGCACACAAGCCAAAGCAAGAACACAAGTCCTAAGTTCAATCCTCGGAATGGGGGGGGAAATATATAACAGTGGCTCATGCCTGTAATCTAGCTACTTTGAAGGCTGAGATCTGAGGATCTCAGTTCAAAGCCAGCACAGGCAGGAAAGTCTGTGAGACTCTTATCTCCAATAAGCCACCAGAAAACAGAAAGTGGCACTGTGGCTCTGGCTCAAGTGGTAAAGCGCTTGTCTTGAGCTGCAGAATGCAGGAACATTGCCCAAGCCCAGAGTTCAAGCCCCACAACTGACCAAAAAAAAATATTTTTGTATGCCCTACAGGGAATTACCTTCAATTTTCTGTTTTAAAATTGTTCCTGGACTCTGCTAATATTAATTTGTATGCTTAAGTTTTACTGTCTTGATCTTGTTACCTTCAAAATGTTACTTTAGGACTAGGAAGGTGGCTCAGTGGTAGAGTGCTTGTCTTGCATGCATGAGGCCCTGGATTCAATTCCTCAGCATCACATAAGCAGGAAAAAAAAAAAAAAACGGAAGTGGCGCTGTGGCTCAAGTGGTAGAGCGCTAGCCTTGAGCTGAAGGGCTGAGGGACAGCGTCCAGGCACAGAGTTCTGGCCCCACAACCGGACCCAAAATGTTACTTTATTTCATTCAATTTCGTGAATGTTAATAGAAGGAATCAAAATTAACACATTACTAGCATAGAGGAAGTAGTTGTGGGATATTAACTAAATGTGTGTTCTATTTTAATTATAATCTATTTTCATCACTTCTACACAAGTTGGATGTATATACTTACATTTAATATGTGAATAAGGTTATCCTTTGTTCATTTATTTGTTAACATAAATGTTTAAATTTAATGTTTATTTGTCAATGACTTTATAGGTTTTACTCAAAAAATTATTTTTATACGTTACTTATATATAATAAGCAGCCATTGTCAAGCTTAAATTTGTTGATGTGATTTTTTTTTAAATAGACAAATTTATCAAACTTTTTTTTAGTTTTTCTAAACTGTTTTCATGCTTGTTATTTAATAACTTTTTTTAGTAACATTTAAGGTGTGCATACCTTGTCAAGTTTTTTTTTTCCCCCTTTTACCACTGATAAAATCAATAGAAACTGTTCTATTTGGAGAAGTGAAGAGAGTATAGATTTTACTTGTTAATGTTAATGACTAAGTATCTCTTTGAATAGCAAAAGTCTTCTAAAAAAAAATAAAACCAAAAACTTCTCACATATAATAAGACTAATAATTCCTTGGAACCCTTGTAATAATTTTTTTGAATTACATTGATAAAATTAGAGAAAGACTAATATCTAGTCATTTTGTTAACAGCTGAATACTTTGAAAGATACTTTGATGTTATGGAAAACAAAAGATGGACATTTAAACAAGTACTATACAAGAATAAAAAGTTTAGACTGCTTTAATATAGGAACTATATGAACAGTATTCTCATTTCAACTGCTTATGTATAGGCTTTGCAGGTATTGATATGGAATGATTGCTGAATGTTTGTTGAAGTTTTTGTTGAGTTATATTTTCTCTTTTTTTTGGGGGGGGGGGCTGTGGTCCGGTCATGGGGCCTGAACTCTGGGCCTGGGCGCTGTCCCTCAGCTCTTCAGCTCAAGGCTAGCGCTCTACCACTTGAGACACAGCACCACATCCGGCTTTTTTCTTTTTTCTTATGTGGTGCTGAGGAGTCGAACCCAGAGTCTCAGGCATGCAAGGCAAGTGCTCTACCACTGAGCTACCTTCCCAGTCCCGAATTATATTTTCTCTAGGCAGGGTTTATTTGAATATAATTGATTAAAGGAAGGAGAAAAAGAACAGAGAGGAAAAATTTCCTGTTTCATCTGCAGAAAATGAGTATTGAGACAAATTCCCTACCAGCTTTTATACTTTTTAAGCTGAGTACATATAGTGTCAGAGTTCCAAAGTTGTGCTGGTAAGAAAACTTACTTGCATTTTCGGTTTATTACCTGGTTTTAACTTTTGTGTCTGGCCCTTTTTGATATTTCTTGAACACAAGATTTCTATGCCTGGACCTGGTAGCTCATGCCTGTAATCCTAGCTACTCAGGAGGCTGAGTTCTTAGGATCGAGGTTCAAAGCAAGCCTGGGCAGGAATGTTCGTGAGATTCTTATCTCCAGTTAACCACCAGAAAACCAGAAGTGGCGCTGTGGCTTAAGTGGTAGAGCACTCGCCTTGAGCTGAAAAGCTCAGGGACAGCTCCCAGACCCAGAGTTCAGGCCCCAGCACTGACAAAACCAATATTTTATATCTCCTCATATATTCATCCTGCCTGATGTTCTCCCTGAAATGACTTCGGTCCCGTTCACTTTGAAAGGAGTGGCAAAGGGTCAGTAATCCATCTTCTGTAGGTACTTCATATTGCCTGAATGGCCTTGGCCCTACTGGAAAAGAGGCACCAAAAAGTCATTTCCCTATCTAATTTAGGCGATGACATGGGAAATTCAGACGGCAGGATTCACAATAGCATAAGAAGCAAATTTACATCTAATTTGATTTTAAACTGGCTTTTGGAGCGTTTTGGTGGGGGAAGGGCCTGTCCTGGGGCTTGAACTTCAAGGTCTTGGTGCTATCCCAGAGCTTTTTTTGCTCAAGGCGAGTGCTCTATCACTTGAGCCACAGCTCTTCTTTCTACTTTTTGGTGGTTAATAAGAGGTAGGAATTTCATGGACTACCCTGTCTAGACTGGCTTTGAATCATTATACTCCTTTTTCAACCTCCTGAGTAGGTAGGATTACAGGCTTGAGCCACTGGAGCCTGGCTACAGCTAAAACTTTTTTTTTGTTGGTCGTGGGGCCTGAACTCTGGGACTGGGCACTGTCCCTCAGCTCTTCAGCTGTAGACTAGCACTCTACCACTTGAGTCTCAGCCCCACTTCCGGCTTTTTGTGCTTATGTGGTGCTGAGGAATTGAACTGAGAGCCTCATGCATGCAAGGCAAGCACTCTACCACTGAGCCACCTTCCCAGCCCTGAGCTAACTTTTTTAAGCTTTCGTGTTCAGATATTGCAATTTCAACAGGACCATTAAAATCCTTAGTAGTGAATATATGTTGAGTTTATTTCAATTGAATTTTAAACATATATTTCTATATTTATAGTTTTTGAGGCATTATAAACAAAAATTACTGAGTAATTGCCTTAAAACTGTACCTTTGGATAGATACTTTTAAAATTAGCTTTATAAAAAATAAGCACCAAGGTGGTGATGGTACCTGCAGTTTCTATATAGTATGCAACAACTCTGGCTTATGCCTTTTGGGATAAAAATGACTATAAGGAAGTAGTTGTCCAATTTGGTTACCTGCCCTTTTAACAGATTTTTATCGCTAGCTACTTGATAAATTGTGTGTATGTGCGTGCATATGCGCGTATGTGTGTGCACACTTACATACTTGGTTTTTTTGTTTGTTTTGGGGGGGGTTGTTTTTGGTTTGTTTTTGGTTCTGGTCCTTGAGCATGAACTCAGAACCTGAGCTTTTTGCTCAAGGCTAATGCTTTATCATTTGAGCTACAGCTCCACTTTGGGCTTTTTGGGTAGTTAATTTGGAGGTCAGAGTGTTTTGAATGGTGAATCTCAAATCTCAGCCTCCTGAATAGCTAGGATTTCAGCCATGAGCCACCAGCATTATAATTGTTTCTTAGTGCTATTAATGCTACTTCAAAAGGCGTTACAATGGTTAAGTACATTTCTATGAAAATGTACTTTTACATTCAGTTTAGCATTTAGGAGTAAGATCAATGCTGACTTAAAACAAGAATATTACAGAAGTCAAGCTTTTAGGTTAGATACTATTTATATTTTACCAACTTAATGCTAAAATTAAAGTATAGTAACAGAGTTTAGAAACTCCATGGTATAATTTGTTTCATTTGAATTACTTAGTTTATGGAGTTTAAAAGGCATTTTAATAAGCTGAAATTTGTCACATAAATAGTATTTCTCTGTTTCCTTGGGGTTTTGTTTTTGTCGGTTGTAGTGCTTGAACTCTGGGCCTGAGTGCCGTCCCTCAGCTCTTCAGCTGAAGTTGAGTGCTCTACCCCTTGAGCCTCTGCATCACATCTGGTTTTCTGGTGGTTTATCAGAGATAAGAGTTTCACGGCTTTTCCTTCCTGGGCTGGCTTTGAACTGTGATCCTCTGATCTCGGCCTCCTGAGTAGCTAGGATTACAGGCGTGAGCCACCAGCGCCCAGCCTGTGGTTTGTCTTTTGAGACAACTTCTTGCTATATAGACCAGACTAGCCACTTACAGTTTTTCCTGATTAGTCTCCCTAGTGCTGGGATTTCAGGCATGCGCCACCACCAAACCAGGCTCTATGCCTTTGATTTTAGTGATCCTAATAATTCAAATGTGTTCTTTACAGGGAGCATTTGGTGCACTTCAGAAGATATGTGAAGATTCTGCCGAAATTTTAGATAGTGATGTGCTGGATCGTCCTCTCAACATTATGATTCCCAAGTTTTTACAATTCTTCAAGCACAGTAGCCCCAAAATAAGGTATATATTAATTTTAAGTTTAAACTCTGATACAAGCCTTGTCACTGTACTTTCTTGCAGTGATTACTCAATGTTTGTGGCCAGCCTAAGTTCCATAAAGGTGAATTAAGATAATTGAAATTTACTGTTTTAATTACAATCCCATGAAGTATTTACTTCCTGATGAAATTTTTATTGCATATAATATAGTTTCATATATTCTACCTGTTAAATACTTTCATACTAGCTAATATTCATGTTCATACTGTGTAAGTTCTTTGAAAGCCAAGGTTAACAGGAATATTTTTAAATGATCAGTCTTGTCAAGTTCAAATAATTTCATTTGTGTCTATAATAAAAATAAAAAATATCTACATGTATTTGTCGGTTGGAAGCTAACAATGTTGTCTGATGTAATACTGTGAATTTGAACTTTTAAACAAAAGGTATCATCTTATTTTCTGAACCCCTATTTTCAGGTCCTGTGCTCCTCTATTCTTTATACTGTGATAAGTAAATTGAATTTTAGTGAACTATTTTCCCATTAAGTTACTACTTCGGTTTAAGAGTTTTGCATTTACTTATGAGGAAAGGTCTTTTTAGCACAATGGTAACAGGACTTTTTTTTTTTGGGTCCGGTTGTGGGGCCTGAACTCTGGGCCTGGGCGCTGTCCCTCAGCTCTTCAGCTCAAGGCTAGAGCTCTACCACTTGAG